TGGCTGGGGTGGAGGTGAGTCTGCTGCCCGGGGCTGGAGGCCACAGCCCGGAGGGCCGCCCCAGAGGGTGCAGACCGTCCCTCTTCCTCCTTCAGTGGCAGTCAGTGTGTCATGGGGGCTTTAATGACTTGGACGTGGCCGCATGCAAACAGGAGGTGCTGTGTTTCCATGGTCACCGCTGCTCCCTCTGACCCCGCGGCGCGCCGAACCCCCATTTTCCAATGTGATCAACTCCTGGGACCAAATGAAGTGCAGCCTCATTTCCACGCAGATCCTCAGTCTCCCATCCGGAGCTTCTCCCGAGCAGGGCGGACCTGCAGGGGCCTGGGACCAGCCAGTCCCCCTCTTCCCCGTCCCACCCTCCGGCTCCCCCAGCTCCCGGGTCCTGGTTGGTTGGAGGCAGCAGAGAGGAGGGTGGAGAGGGAACCCCCATCCCCCGCGAGGCCGCTGTCCTGGCGCTGGCCCCCCTGCTGGAGAGGCACCGCGGTGCACCGTCCCCTCAGGCCCCGCAGAGCCCCTCCTTTCTCCCCGGGGGTGGGAGGGGCCAGTGGACAGCAGAGGAGCTTCAGTTTCAAATCCAGGGAGTGAGAAGGGGCTGTGGAGCCCTCCCCCAGGCAGTGACGTGCAGTTCCTGCTGGAGTAGGATTTGGGGGGCATGGCTGGTGCCCGGCTGGGGTGGGTCCTGCACCTGCAGGTTGGGGTCAGGACCCAGGAGGGCCTGTGGAGCCTGAGGCGGCCTGTGCTGTGGGTGAGGGGGCTCCATACCCTGCAGCGACAGGCTGGTCCCCAGTCTGATTCTACAATGGGGTGGCGTCCTTCCAGACCTTTCAGTGCCAGGACCCCTGCCCCTGAGGCCAGGGTGGAAAGCACTCCTGGAGGCCTGGACTCCGAGTTAGGGAGAGTGGAAGCTGCAGGGGGTGGCACAGCGGATCAGGAGCTGCGTCCCCCATGTGCCCTGAAGTCTGGGTTCCTGGCAGCCAGGAGCTCTCCAGGAAAGCCTTTTCCTGGGAAAATGAGGCCTGAGACTCAGCTGGAAGGCACCACCCTGCAGATGGTCCCCCTTGGGGATCTGCTCCGCCCAGGGAGGGAGGAGAGGGTGACACAGAACAGCCTGGCCCTGTGCCCTCGCCCTCGGGTTCCAGGCACACGTTCTGCCTAAGTGACTGCCTGTCCACGGGGCCCTGTGGGTGGCAGGTGCCAGGTGGTCCACACACATCCAGGTCCCCTGTGCCCGCCAGGAGGGTGTGGGCTGCCTGCCTTTCCATTGGGCTCTGGGGGACTGTGAGTCTTTGTAGGGCTTTCCTCCATGGGTGAGGGTGTAGTCAGACCTTTAGTGTTTCCAGGGTTAAGATTGAGGGTCTGAGTCACTCAGAGGCCAGCGCTCCCAGGGGATGGAGAAGGACCTAGAACTTGGTGTTGGAGGGAAGGCTGGAGTGAGACACACCTGGGCCTGGGGCTGTGCCTGCAGGCAAGGACACGAGGTGGCCCCCGCAGGGCTCTCTATCGGGATG